TTGTCATGCAAAGTAGACCAAACAAATTTAAAAGAATGATATTTTAAAGAAGAAGAAAATGGATATGATATTGACAAACTCTTGCGCGGAAATCAAGATTTATCACCACATGAAATACAAAACGTTTACGAATAACTTAAAACAGAAGATACATATTCAGTTTCCCAAAACATTAAAACATAGTTGCAAACGCGCTTGTTAAGAAGAATATTTACAAAAAAGATTTGTCTACAGCAAAAGTGAAGACGCAGTCTACTGCATATACTGTACTTTATTTCTAAAGCAGGGTAAAAACAAATCTTTAAGAGCTTTTGTTAATCGTGGATATAAGAAATGGCACAATGTTTTAGAGAAAAAGAAACTACATATAGGCAATAGATACCATAAAGAAGCTATCAAACAAACTAATGGCATTTGTTGTCGTTTTGAAGATCCAAGACAAACCATTCCATTACAAAGCGACAGTACTTTGAAAATCCGACAACAAATGTACCCGTACGTTGTTGAAACATTTGGTAGAGTAGTACATTTGATGGGAAAACAAGGACTTGCATTTCGTGTACCATATAAAAATTGTATGAAAAATTCAGACCAAAAAGGTAATATTGGAAACATTCTTGCAATTGTGCAAGAAATAGCTCGCCATAACGCTGAACTTAATGGACATATATAAACACCATTACGCAAAGATGTCAGCTACCTTGGCCCCAAGAGTCAAAATGAATTAGTTGATATAATTAGAAAAAAGTGTATAAAGACCGGCTAATTAATGAATTAATTATTACCATTCAATTTCAGCAGAAGAGGTAAAAACTGCAAACCAACAAATTCTAACAGTATGTATGAGATACATAAACAGAGAAAAAGAAATTAGAGAAGTATTTCTTGACTTTTTGAATCTTGATAGGATAACAGGCAAATTTATTAGAGAAAGCTTGATGAAATTTTATAACGAAAGTGGAATTGATCGTAATTCTTGTAGAGGCCTGTGTTACGATGGCGCACCAATCATGCAATCTGTTGAAGAAGGTGTTTCCAGCTTTATTTTAAAAAGATCACCAAAAGCAATTGTAATATTGTAGCTCACACAATTTGAAATTATCAATTGCTGCAATATCAAAAATATTAATCATGGATAATATTTTGAACGTATACCGAAATATATCCATTTATTTCAATACTTCTCCGAAAAGAGAGCGCTTGCTGGAGCATGTTGCAGAGATCCGTAGTAAATCAACTGAAAGAAAAAAGATTTTGATATGGATGTGCAAAACAAGATAGTCAGAAAGAGATGAGATAGAGTTTAGTATGGATTAAGACGCACAAGGAAAAAGAAAGGCCAACTGATTTCTTAATACACTCAGTAAGTTCGAATTCATAATTGTCATTATAACTTTGTACCGCTTACTTCACCTGTTGTCGTATATAACAGAGAGTTTACAAGGGTGCACAACTGATATTGTGTATGTATACAGTAACATTCAAGAAAAAATTGACAATTTGAAAAATCTACGGAAAAATGTTGAAAAAGAAACTTACCCAATTTACCAACAAGCTACTCGTTTGGCAAGTAAATTATTTATAGAACCAACGGTTCCCAGAATCACTATGACATAAACCTACAAAAATAACGTACCTGCAGAGAGACCCCGTGAATGTTATAAACAAGACTATATTGTACCTTTTCTCGACGCTATCATTTCAGAAGTTCAAAATACAATTCCACAAGACAAATTGTATTGATGCTAAGGTTTTATGCTTGGTTTCCTCGATAAATGCAGTGAGGAGATAACTGCTTTCCAGGAGTTAATTAAAATTTATAAAAGAGATCTTCCAAACTCAGAAGCTGCAGATCAAGAATTCATGTTTCGGAAAAGAAAATGGTCTGTTATTAAACCTAAAGATAAGCCTAATACTCTAGCTAAAGCCATTAAAATCTGCGATAAAAATCAATATCCTAATCTCTTTGAGCTTCTATACACACATACACACACATATATATATATATATATATATATATATATATATATATATATATATATATATATATATATATATATATATATATATATATATATATATATATATATATATATATATATATATATATATATATATATATATATGGTTTTTCTACTAATTTATAATTGCTCTGTTCTTTTAAGAACATTGAGCACTCTATTTTGTAGAAAACATTTTTTAAAATTGTATGTATATTTATATATATATATATATATATATATATATATATATATATATATATATATATATATATAATATATATATATATTATATATATATATATATATATATATATGTATATATATATATATATATACATATATATATATATATATATATATATATATATATATATATATATATATATATATATATATATATATATATATATATATATATATATATATATACACCCTCCCATAAGTATCCACCTTACAAAAAATACAAAATTGTGTTGTAAAAAGTTATTAAAAAAAATTGCGCAGTAATTTCTTAATTTATTTGTGCATTTCTCTTAGGCTAATCAATATTCTTTAATTGTTTCCATAGTAACACTTGTAAACTCTGTTGTCAGAAAAGTTTTTAAGCTTCATAATTAATTACCGTGCATATGATTAAAGGTAAGAATTATTGGTTTTAGTTTGTATAAGAGAGAACTTTAGGTTTATGTAACAATGATTACTAGCTATTGCATAAAGATGAAATTAGAGTAGAACACTTTAGAAAAACATATGAACAGTGCCAGTTTAAGCTATTTTAAACAGCTAATTATTAGTTTTTTGTCCCTTTATGATGGTCTAACAGCAGTGGCGTACCTACGGGGAGGATGGGGGGGGGGGAAGGGCTCACCGCCCCGGGCGTCATCCACTTTTGGGTGACACCCAATTTATTAATATGTTATATTTTATTTTGGTTTATAATTAAACAGTCTTACATAAAAAAATAAATGGGTATTTATTTAGACGACATACGAAATGCTGAATGCTGAAAGAAATAGTTATCATTATTTAGAAAATATAATCGCTTAGCTTTCTTCTTATAATATAAACAAAATGAAATAAAGACTTAATGTCGTCTAAAAAAATTCTTCATAATCAAAACATACTCAAATTTTGTTTGGGTTTGGATAACTTTGTGCGGGTGCGGTTTTAACCGTTTTTCACTTTATCAGCTTTCTTACTCTTATTCGTATATTTTTTCAGTGATAGTACTGCATCACATTGCAGAATATCAAAACCATCTAATTCGAACTAAAACATTCGAAAACATATTCTTTGTTTATGATAACAATTTTAAAAATTTGCCATATTACATATTACTAAAAATTTTATAAAATTTGTGCATAAATTATAGTGACTTTGTAAGAGATACATTTGAAACAATATCGTATATTATTAATTTTTTTAATTTTTCGTTTTTAGTGCTTAATAAATACCATTTATTTTAAAAAGTTTTTAGTGCTTAAATTTGAAGTTTTAAAATTTTGTTTTAATATTTAGTTTAAAGTTTTAAATATTTTGTATAACAATGCCGCGTGGTGTGCATAAAATGAAGAGATTAAGTGGACATCATTAAAGAAAATTAAACTTAAATCCCTTAAAAAATATGCAGGGTCAATACGTCAATACATAGATAACCCAAATGACAGCCAATGTTCTTCAAAAGATAGTACTTTGATACAAACTCCATTAGTAGTAGAAGAAAGTGAAAATGAAGCTTCTAATAATAGCACCTTCACTGTTGACATAGAAAAAAACGACCAAGAAAATGAAGCTGAATCTCCACAAGTATTAGAAATCACTGATTTAGAGAAACATGATGGAAAAACTAACTTTAAAATCTGTTCTGACGTCTCTTTTTGGAAATTACCGCTTCTAGACCATCGTTGAATTGAGATTATTAAAATGGGAAGTTCTACATTTCAAAACAAAGATGGACCATTTAATGTAGTAGAACGAAATGTCACTCAAATGAAAGGCCATGATCGTCACTTTTCCTCTAAATGGTTTTATAAACAAATGAAAAATGGTGAAAAAATTTTACGTTCATGGATGGTATATTCACCCAACAGTGGAAATTTATACTCGATTATTTGCCAGTAATATTACCAATTTGACATCAAAATTTGTCACTGGATTTCAAAAATGGTGGAAATTAAATCCAAAAGTATATGAGCATGAATCATCTGACAATCATTTGCGATTTTTGGAAAAATGGAAGATTCTGGAAACAAATTTAAAATCTAATAATACAATCGATGCCGAAATGAAAAGAAAAAATGGCGAAACATATTATATAGGCTCTTAGATGTAACTTTGTTTCTTGCTAAGCAAAACTTGCCATTTCGTGGACATCAGGAGGATAAATCATCTTTGAATAAAGGTAATTTTTTAGATTTAGTGGATTTGCTTTCAACGTATGACCCTATATTAAAGGAGCATTTAATTAAACTAAGGGAAAGTTATTCCAAGGTTTAGTTTCTTTCCCCAAAAATTTAAAAAAGGAAATAAGGCTCTGGACTAAAGTACTGAAATACTTAAACAATTAGAATCTGATGGTTTAGATATAATGATGTGCCGCTCCCAGGGATATTGTAATGCTGCTGCAGTGGCTGGAATCCGTGGAGGTGTACAGAAAATTATTTCTGATAAAAATAATAAGGCAATTTTTAATGGATGTATTGATCATTCCCTAAATTTATGTGGTCAGCATTCTTTTGCAGTAAATGCATCTTGCGTCACATTTTTCGGAACAATTGATGCAATTTATTCATTTTTTGCTGCTTCTACGCATAAGTGGGAAGTGTTAATAACGCATACCAATATATCAGTGAAAAGACTGTCGACCACGCGTTGGAGGGCACATTATAACGCCGTAAAACCTCTTAAAGAGAATTTTGAAAAATTTATAGAAGCAATTGAAGCTCTTTGCAGTACCAATGAAAATTTAGATTTTTAAAAGCAACTGAATGTCTTTTGATGGCAGTGTGTCAATATACATTTTTATGCTTTTTGTATTTTTGGCACGATATACTGGAAAAAGTAAATAATACTCAAATTTACCTACAGACAATAGGTCTATCTCTTGATAAAGTTATAATAAAAATAGAAGCTCTTAGTCTTTTTTTAAACGAAGAAAGGCAAAATGTAGTTGACATGGCACTAAATAAAGCACTTTGTGTATCAAAAGAACACGATATTCCAATTGAGAGAAGAATAAGATTGAGAAAGAAGATGGCGGGAGAATTGGTATGTGATACTAAACTCACAATAGAAGAAGAAAATAAAAGAACTATGTATGAATATATTGATCGTCTAAATGTTGAACTTCAAATAAGATCAAAACCATTAAAAAATATTTTAGATATGTTTGAATGTGTCCAAGCTGAATTTTTAGTTTCTGAACATAATAATGAAGAAGACTTGACGTTATCTATTAAAAAGTTAACTTCATTATATAATGAAATATTCCATGATGAACTAATTTTGGAAATTCCACGACTCAAGCGACATCTTAAAGCAGCAGGAATCAATTTGGAAGTAGTTAAAAATTGGACAGCTTTAGATAATTTGACTTTCATCACAGAATGGGACAGAAACGCTTCCAATGCTTTATCTCACCCTAAGATTATTCTTAGTATTTGCGTGTCCGTTGCATCATGGGAAAGGAGCTTTTCAAAATTAAAACTGATAAAAAATTATTTACGATCAACTATGGGTCAATCAAGACTTTCTGATCTTGCAATATTATATATACAGTGTGAGTTTGTCAAAAGCATTGACTTTGATAACGTAATTGATAAATTTGCAAGTTTAAAAGTAAGAAAAGGAACATTTTAAAGGTTAGGGGAGAACCTTAATTAATGGGACAGTTTTCGTAAAATGCATTTTTTGAGGTTGATAAATTTGTTTAAAAATCACTTTGAAAATAGTTTGATAACTGTTAACTCTCGTACTATGATAAACAAAAACAAAAAAATTGATTCCGCATATGGGTATTGGTAAAAAGAGAGTTTAATAAGACCATGGCATTTGTCCCATTCATTAAGAACTACTCATTGAATGGGACAAATAAAATTATTGAATGGGACAAATCTAAAAAATTAATAAAAGAAGAGAGGTCTTAAGTAACTTTCAAGCCAGTCAAGCAGTAAGGGTAGTTACTACCGTTAGGGAACCCGAAAAAGCTATAAATATGGCCGAATGTCTGCATATATTGACAAACCTAAAATAGTTTTATTAAAAAATATATGTATATTAAAATTAAATTAAAAACACGAATAATTGTTTTTAGTAAAACAAAAAGCGTTTTTTAAATGCTTGGATATAATTCCCAGTAATGACACATTTCCAATAGGGAAATGAGTCATTGCCTGCAACATCCCTATGCTAAATTATAAATAAACAACTTAATACCATATAAAGTATCTAGTTTACTTTCAAAAAACGAAATAATAAAGCATCTTATTAGATATTTAAAAAATTCATTGTATTTATGTTTAACCAAAATATAAAAATCAACAATCATTGCTTGTTGCAAAGTACATGAAATAAAAACCATCAAAAAAAGTGTAGAAGATATCAACAGTCAACTTCACATAGTTCACATTCATAATAACGCTTCTTGCTGTTATTATTACAATTACCACATATCCACCATTGACAAGTAAAATACTGAATCCAAGCAGGCCCAACGAAATTCTTCCAGTTACATTTGCATATTTTGCAAGTATTTTGTTGTTGTTGGTTTACGGGTGCATTTTTTACAGATGACACAATTAAAAAATCTGCATCAAAGATTTCTGTTTCTTTATATATTTGAAGACGTTTGCAAATAATCTGCAATAGCACTTTCCTCAGACACATGAAATATTTTTCTATTTCCAATGTTTACAATGTGTTTATAGTCTGGCAGCTTTTGACATTTTGCCATTTTAACAGCTCTACCTACTGCTAATTTTGATAAACTATACATTTCAGCTGCATCTCGTATGGACACACCTTTAAGAACACTTTTTACTGCATCTTCAACATCTAAAGAGTTTTTACGTATTAATTTTGTGTTTGGTTTCATCTAAAATAAAATTTGAAACTTCACAAAAAACCAAATATATGCCATATGCAAATATTTAAATACAAACATGAAATATATAATTAAAATACACACAGATATACACACACATATATATGTATGTATATGTATGATACATATACATACATACAGTATATAATATAAATACATATGTGTGTGTGTGTGTGTGTGTGTGTGTGTGTGTGTGTGTGTGTGTGTGTGTGTAAATAGATATACATAAATGTATATAAATACAATAAATGCATACAAAAAAATAATTATAAGTATATATATATATATATATATATATATATATATATATATATATATATATATATATATATATATATATATATATATATATATATATATATATAATATTTGCCATCTTTTTAATACTCTGTTATCAACAACATATCTAATTAAACATTTAACCATATTTATACATATTACAAATATCATACATCAACATATCTAATTAAACATTTATACATATTATAAATATCATACATCAACATATCTAATTAAATATTTAAAATTAATTTCATTTAATAAACTATTGATCGACTCAACTTTAAAGAATACTAAAGAAAAGATTTAAATAGAGATTTAGTTTTATGAGCACAATTTTGAACTTTAGCTAAAGCATTGGTCACACTTATTTAGAACCACATTTTAACATCAAATTAAAACGTATTTAAAAATAAAATTATGTGTGACCATAACTAAGTTGCCGAAATATATTTTTCTACTTTTTTCATATCAGGCTGTTTGGAAAAGTCCCATTCAATAATCAATACTTTGTCCCATTCAATAGGCTTCCCACTATATCCACAAATGACAGGACAGGTTAAAAACAGTAATACCTAAATAAAAATACTTTACAAATTTAAAAAGTAGAGAGATTTGGGTGTTGAAAATTGGAGTTTCATTTTCCTTAACTTTAGTAATCGCTGCAAAATCAGACACAGAAAATCCAAATCCAGACACATCCAATGCCATTACGTTTAGACCATAATAGAAATAAAGATTTGGTCTGTTGAATGGTTGTGTCAAACACTTATTACCACAGGAGTTTGGATAGCCAACTGTAGATGCTTCTATGCAAATTTGATTTTGTCCCATTCAATAATTGTCCCATTCATTAAGGTTCTCCCCTAAGTGTTATGAACATTTAGTATAATAATTATATAATGATTAAAAAATTTAGTTTAGTGTTTGAAAAATTTAGTTTAGTGTTTGAAAAATTTAGTTTAGTGATAAAAATATTTAGTTTAGCGATTAAAAAATTAATCTAGTGATTGAAAAATTTAGTTTAATGATTGAAAAATTTAGTTTTGTGATTAAAAATTAGTGTAGTGATTGCATAGTGAATAAAAACTATACAATGTTCAAACTTTTGTGCATATTATTTTAAAAAATATATTTAGTTCATATAGATAGTAAATAATTAAGTACATTAATATGTTGTTATACATCAACACATCAGTGGCATAGATTCATTTATAGGACAGATCTGCGTATTTAACAAAGGGTAAGTGAACGTTTAACTTATTTTTCACAGATAAGAAGTTAAAAAATCAGTAAGTTTGCTATTTTATTATTATACTTTACTATCAAATCAAATCCAAGTACTACTATTTTTTTAAGCATATGATTTTAGACGATTTTAGATAATAATAATTTATTATCGTCTAAAACAGAGATAATTATTTGGCAACAATTTATTTTCAAATAATTATTTTCTCTGTTTTAGACGAGAATTATTTATAGAGAGTTATAGACACTAAATTATTATTGTCAAAAACAAGGTTTAAAATTACACGTGTCAACGTTTCTAAATACTGCTTTAATAATTTCGTATATAAAAATAATTACATATAATATATGGGTGACACCCTATTTGCCGACCCAGGTGACACCATAACTAGGAACGCCACTGTCTAACAGTGCTTGGCTATTATGCAACTTTAAATTGGTACTTGTATTAAATAAAATGATTTTTTTACTATTACTGCTAAATTAGGCTTTGCATAGCTTCACATTTGCATTATTTTAGTTGATTTTGCTTTAAAATAATATGTATTAATTACATTAATTGCCAAATTAGCTACATTTTGCATCTTTCAGAGGTCAGCTTATCTTCGTTTGTCTGAGGAAGAGCGTCTACGGGTTGTATTTATATCAGAAAATAGGATGTCTACAAGACAAGTGGCCAAGAAAATAGAAGTTTCTCATGGGGGAGGGGGGTCCAGCGGATTCTGAAAAAAATACAAAACTGTGGGTTCTGTAAAGGACAAATAGCGATCCGGACGCCTAAGGAAGACTTCGGTTCAAGAGGACAGGATCCCGGTGAGGATGTCAATGGCAAATCGAATGTTGAGTTTGATTGAGTTGATTTGAGTTAAAAAATGGCAGGGGACCACAGAATTTCACTTGGGGATTAGAAAGTTACTCAGCGATTAAGCGAGGCAAATCTGCGGGGGTGTGTTGCTGCGAAAAAGTCGCTGTTAGCGAAAGTAAACTGCAAGAAACGACTGGCATTTGCTAGTACACATCGCGACTGGACAGTGGCTATGTGGAAAAAAGTGCTGTTCAGTGATGAAAGTTCGTTTGAATTGTTTAGCAGTAACAAACGCAAATAAATAAAATAACAAATTTGTACGTCAAAGACCAGTTGAACGACACCGTCGGGAGTGTGTTGTTCCAACAGTACAGCATCGTGGTGGCACCCTGATGGTGTGGGGTTGCATGTCTGGATGGAAGTAGGGCAACTCCATCGATGTGTAGGGTCAGTGAATCAACACCAATACATTGAAATTCTTAGCCAGCCCATGGTTCCATCTGCCAGAAACCTTTTTGGACAAAATGGAGTATTTTCCTTTCAACATGACAATACTCAATGTCACAAGCGAAGAAGGTAACCAATTTTCTTGCCCCCCAGCATATCGACGTTTTAGACCGGCCCCCGCAGAGTCCAGACATGAACTTTGACTATGCCGACCTAACTACCGTCCTTTCAGGCAGATAGGTCGGCATGGCCGAATCCCGACTCAAATATATATATATATAAACTCTCGACCAATTTGTTGATGCCGTTTTGCCAAAAAATGGTCGGTCTGGTGTCGAAGAAGTTGTTGAGCCAGTTTTTAAGATCCTCTTCGCCATCAAAGGAAATACCCCTCATTTGGTTTGATAGAGAGCGGAAAAGTTGATAGTCGGTAGGTGCAAGATCCGGAGAGTACGGTGGATGCTGAAGAACCTCCCATTCAAGCTCTTGGAGTGCTGTTTTGACGACTTGGGCAATATGAGGCCTGGCATTGTCGTGGAGCAAGATGACTTGACTTTGTCTATCGGGTTTTTTCAGCCAAATAGCTTCATTTAAAAGGTTCAGCTGGGCAATGTAGACCTCCTTGTTGACAGTGGCGTTTCGTTCGAGCATTTCCGAGTCCACCATGTCTTCCCATTCCTACCAAACGCAAATCATGCCTTTTTTGAGTGAAGATCTTGCTTGACTCTCGGCTTCGGCGACTCTCCTGGGGCCACCCACTCCTTTCCTTGCTTCACATTGACGTACAGACACCATTTCTCATCTCCCGTGATAATTTGATACAAAAAGCGCTGTTTGTGTCCATGTGCTGCTCGGTGGCAGGCAAGATGTTGAGCAGCAATTTGAAGGCGTTTTTCTTTGTTTACTTCGTTGAGTTCGTGAGGTACCCATGTTCCGACGGCTTCGGCAGCTTTTTAACCTCGATGAAAAGCAAAGAAA